TTTGATGTGTTGTTTGAGGATGAAATCATGTGGTGACAGATCCTATGTGCAGATGGACGTGTGTAGGGGTTAAAAGTCCAGGTAAGACTCCCCAAGGACCACCCTAAGGGTCCTTGAGGAGGACCCTCAGTTTATACCCCAAGCTGCCAATCGTAGGTGATCTACGAAAGCAAACCACGGCCAGTAGGTTGATCTACGGCTCGTGGACTTGCTCCGTAAGTCAAGACATAGCCTAGGGAGCCTTAGCTCCCATGGACAAGTCTCTGTCACAAACGACGAGCCAACAGGGTGGCCCGTCACTTCACCTACCGTCCGTAGGTGTGGAGTCGTAGGTCGCACCTGCAAGCTGTCAAGTGACACGGCCAAGACAAGGGTGGTTTGGTAAATTCCACCCTTGGCCAATTAAATGCATGGACGGTTGTTTAAAGTATTTTAAAGGTATTTAAACATTTATATTGTATTTTAGAATTCATTCTTCATATTTCCCGGAAAAAAAAAACCCTTATCTCCTAAAAAGTTCTCTCTAGAACTCCATTGAAGGGCTAGGTCCAGTTCAAGCTAGGGTTGAAGGTTTCAAGTGTTTTCTTCTCAAAAATTCGTGGGATTCATGAAGGTTAAGGTATGGGGATCCTTCATCCTTAGCTATTCTTCCTTTACAGGAGCTCAATCTAAATGTTTTCAAAGTTCTTCCAAAAACACAAAACCCTAATTTCAATTCTAGCATGGGTTCTTGCATGAAAACCTTTAAATGATGATTTATGTTGTTATTAATGATTATTGATGGTTTTAAGAAAGAAATGTTCATGAACCCATGTCTTATCAAATTCTCTAAATTTGGTCTAAAGTGCGTCTATGGATTTTGAGTAATTGATGAAGGATTATTGAGTGGTGTTATATGGGATGATCCTATATGATCTTAGCTATGTTGAATTACTGGAAATTGTTATTGAATTGTATAATGTGAGGTAGTAGCCTTGAATGGTCATAAATTGGGATTTAGACTTCATGTTGGTTATTGGATATTGTTTAGCTTAGCTTGTATAGTTGAATGTTGTTATTATCATTGTTATTGTATTGTTAATTGTTGAAATATGAGGATGATAAAGATAGCTATGGAAAGAGGGTAAGTTGACCTAACTTAATGAATATTGTATAATTGGCTTTGAAAGGTGGTAAGATGGATTGATCTATTAATTTTGCTATAATTGCGTCTTAGGTTGGATCCACCTTTGGTGGAAGTGTTGCTTGTTGCTTTTGAATTATGATTGTGGCCATGAAGGGCATTATATGAGTATTGTTTTATTATTCTGTTATTATATATAAATGAACCTATATGTAAAGTTCTATATGAGGTTATATGTAAAGTCCTATATGAAGCTATATGTAAAGTTTGTGTGATGCAATAATTTGAAGATGTTCTAATGGAATTAATATGATATTGTATAAAGTATTATTATGCTAATGTGAAAGCATGTTTTTCTTGAAATGGTGATATGTGGTGATGATGGACTATGATGAGTCTTTATAAGATGATGTTGTAGCTCATACGCCAGACTTGAGTATCTTGTCTTGTCATGAAAGCTTGATTATATATCTGAATGTTTGGTTGGGCTATGACTTTATAATGGAGCTCTTCCTATAATTTGTAAAAGAGGAATTCTAGGCCAAGACTTGAATCGGTAGACCTAAGCATGGTGCCCTTTCATAAGTCTAGACTCCTAAGTAAATGTGTAACCTTGAAGGATGGGCCTTAGGGTAATGTTCCCTTCTTGAGTGAAATGATAGACTTAGAGATGGATGGAGCCGGAACGGCATGAGAATCCTTATATAAGAAAGTCAAATGAGCTGTCCTTATGAAACTAGATTGGTTATTACTAAGAAAAGGGGATTTTCTTGGGAAGAGGTACTATGAGTTGGTTGAACTAGAAAAAAACCATCTCCAGTACATATGTGATTGAATACTCTATGGGAAATAAGGCTAGCACCGAGTGGATGTGGATAGGAAGGTGGCCTAGTTGAGTATGAGATTAGGCACAATGAACTTCCTTGGACATCCCCTAAACCATGTTCCTACATGGGTTGCTTACTAGTTCTACCCTTGGCAAGTAGAACACCTTCTACGATGTGGTGTCTTATGACACTGGATTCCATACCTTGCTAGTATGGTCTGTGTCGATTGATGCATATATTCCCATCATATGGGATGTGCACTCTAGCTGTTGGATAGGTTCTTCAAAGTGTAGGTAGTAGTATGGGATGCTACCTATACATGGCACGAGTAGGCCTAGAAGATACTAAAGTGAGTTCCCTAACTCTAATGACTATTATGTGAAAGTCCCCTTATGTGTTTGAATGTCTCCTAAATGGTTTCTTAAAGAATGTTGGTCTATTGATGTTATGTTGTAAAGGAAATGTCCTTATCTAAGGTAATATTGTGGAACACTTAAGTGTGCTTGAAGAGGTTGTATGGGCGGTCACTTCTTGTCTCATTCAAGTGTGTCTTAAGGTTATATTAGGTAGAGGTCCTATGGGAATGAAATGGCATGTGTTATTTTAAAGTTAAGCATGTGTTGTATATGGATTTATGTTGAGTATAAGTATGGTTGGCTATGGTCTTATATGTGAATGTTGACTTGTATTATATCTCTTATACTTGTGAAGTGAAGGTTTTATCAAAATGATATGAAAGCATATATTCCTTGTAAATGTCTGTTGAAGCATGCTTTTGCATGGTCTCCATACGTAGTACTTAATTGTGCTAACTCCTTTCTTTCCCTTTTTAACTGAAGTGTAGGATTGGGAGATGGTGACATGTCATGGCTACTTGATAGGTTTCTAAGTGTTGACGATGAAGACTTGGTGAGTCCTCATAGATTTGAGGACAATATTCTACATGTTCCTTTTTATGTATTTCTGGTATTTTGTTTAAGTCTTGTATGGGCTTTGTCCCATTGTTGTATTCAAGTATTAGATGGTTTTGAGACATCATGTATAAAGTCTAGAAAGTCTTCCGCTTGTTATTTAATGAAAGTATCTTCATGTGTGAAGAAAGTTTTTAATTACTTATGGTTTTTAGTATCTATTCGATGAATGAATGCTAAGAGGCTTGTATTAGACCTCCGAGAGGTCGAGTACACCGGTTACGACTAGGGGGTGCTCTCGGGTCGTGACATAATGGTTGTTATGTGTGCAGGGATGAAAAGGAAAAATTTGTAGAAAATATATGTGCAGTGGTCTACGGGCCCCATCGACGGTCCGTTGGTTAATCCATGAACCATAGATGGCGTTCCTAGATAACATGTACATTTTCTAATTTTTTTAAGTGTCAAAGTGACCTACGGACCCAACCTACGGTCCGTAGGTTGAACCGCAAATTGTCAACGGGGTCTCGTTGGTCCAACCAAGGGTTTTTGCCATACCCGGATCCCTTTTTATTAAATCTCTTCATTTTTCAAACATTTCCCTCTGCCATATTTTCTCCCAAACCGTTACAACCATTCAAGAACTCCATAATCCTCCATTAATCACTCCAACTTACTCCCAAAACTCCCATATCAATCCTCCATCTCTCATATCTCCCCTTCCTTTCCCTAATCACTTCCATTTTTCTTCCTCAATGATTCCAAGGTCCGGGTTCGGTGTCGAAGGCTAGAAAAGAGGTTCGAGGAGTTCATTGCACTAACACACTCACCCACTTCAATTACTTGTAAGGTAAACTATTTCACCCTAACTGTGAATTGGATGTTCATTGTCTAAATCATGTAATCACGTAGTTGGAACCTGACCTTGGGTTGTAAATCTCTTATTTTAATGATGAATTGTAGTTAGAAATACCCTTGGAATGATAGTATGTGAATGTGTTATAAATTAAAACAACAGAAATCGGTTAATAGGTCTAAATTGGAAGTTTTGACCTAGTATTGTTCAATGGTTGAGTGTAAAAGTGAATAAATTGAATGATCACAACCCTAAGGATGATGAACTACAAAAAATATGTTGAAATGAATGTGTGGGCCTAGTTTGATTGTGTGTTTGTTGAAATATGGCATTGGGGTGAGTTGAAAGTGTGAAATCTGGAACAAAACTGACCCACGACTTTAACCCACGGACCAAAGGTTACCCTACGGACCGTAGGTCGAGGTCCGTGGACCAGTGGCACACACAATATTTCTTAAGTGTAGAACCACGGTGTGGAATACGGTCCGTTGTTCCACGACAGATCATTCTGCACATCCGTGGTACCCACATAAGAGACCCAAATTTGGGTACTCTAACCTACGGAGGGGGCTATGGGCCGTCATTCCATCGATGGACAGTAGGTACCCATCGTGGGTCACCAGTTTAGCTACATTCTGGGAAATTTTTTATTTTTTGTTTGGGACAGAAACTTGTTCTAAAATTATTTTATGGGTCTTTTAGTGTTGTTTTGGGAATAATTTAGCTTCCAAATGTACCATGGCTCCAAAGCAAGCTCTTACCTACGCAGGAGAGATCATGTCCAAGTTAGTTTCCCCTTGCCACCAGGGTCTCCCCGACGGCCCCCCGTAATACTAGGAACAGAGCTCAATAGGTAAGCTCCAACGAGGTCACTGCCCCTAGTCTGAGGAGGGGGCCATATAGATTGGAGCACAGGCTAGCTGAGAGTCGCAGTTCGGCTCAAATTTTCATGTGATATCTTTCTCTTTTTCTTAGGACCCTTTGTTAATGGTTGTCCTTCATGATCTCTCATTTGATTAAGTATATCAATTCCAGAGCATGTTTTCGGTGGGAGCCTTTTCTCAATTGTATTATCAAATGACTTTTTGTCATTCCTCCATCTGTGATCCTTGGGAAGGTAACGTCGATGACCCATAAAACATTGTTTCTTGCAATTACTCAATCGCATTGAGGAAGAATCTTTATTACAAGATGGACATGCCAATTTTCCTTTTGTACTCCATCCAGATAAATTTCCATATGCTGGAAAGTCATTGGTAGTCCATAACAAAGAAGCATGCAACTTAAAATTTTGATGCATCAAAGGTTTCAATACCAACTTCCCACAACTCTTTCAATTCCTTTATTAGAGGTTGAATATATGTATCAATCGCATCTCCAGGACCATTTGGACCAGGAATAAGCATTGACAAGATAAAGTTTTCTTGTTTTATACACAACCAAGATGGTAAATTATAAATAATAAGAACCACATACCAAATGCTATGTGATGTTTTTGAATTGTGAAATGGCTGAAATCCATCACTAGCAAGTCCAAGTCGAACATTATGAGGCTCGATTGCAAATGAAGGATGAAGTTCATCGAATGACTTCCATGCCATTGAATCAGCTGAGTGCCTCATTATTCCATCATTAGTTCTCTCATCCTTATGCCGTGTCATTAGAGAAGATGTCTTTGTAGACATAAACAACCTTTGAAGCCTAGACTTTAATGGAAAATAGCGCAAACTCTTTGAGGCTATCTTTTTACCCTTTTTATTCTTTGTTTCTCCGGTATGCGTATTCATTTTCCATCGGGAAGCACCACAAATTTTACAAAAATCAAGTAGGCTATCCTCCTTCCAATATAACATGCAATCATTAGTACAAGCATCAATCTTGTTGTAAGAAAGCCCAAGTTCTCGAATAATTTTCTTTGCCTCATAATATGAATTTGGTAAATCGGCTCCTTCATCCAATAACTCCTCTTTTAACATTTTTAATAGAATGCTAAATGACTCATTACTCCAATGACCCATACTTTTTATGTGAAGCAATTTAATCAAAGATGAAAGCTTTGAAGCCTTTGAGTTTTGATATAGTGGTTGCTCCAAATCTTTCAATAGGCTGTAAAATCTTTTAACTTCATCATTTGGCTCCTCCTCGACTACATCACCGTAACCAGTTGGGGTAGCTCCTCCATCAACATTAGGATATAAATCTTTCAACAATTCTTGTATTTCATCTTCACTCTCATAATTTTCGACTTCATCATCATTTTCATCTTCAGAGTTTGACACCGACTCACCTAAATGTTCTCCATGGTGATACCAAAAAGTATAATTTTGAATCATTCCATATACTTTCAAATTTGTATCAATTGTCTCACGAGTTCCTAATGTTGTATTACAACATTTGTAACATGGACATCGTATTTTATCTTCTTTTCTTGATCCCTGAAAAGCATAATCCAAAAATTGTTTCACCCCATCTAAATAGGCTTGATTGACCCGATTACCAAGAGAAAGGTTCATACATTGCTTACTAGGTGCCATAACCTTAGAAAATAAAATAAAAAGAATTAAGAATTGATCAGATAATCCTAGAGCAGAAGAATTGTTAAAACAAGTAGTGTAACTCGAACAAATCAAATAAACAGAATAGGAAAAAATCATCTCTTGAAAGAGGAGGCTGTCTTGATTAGTTTCGAACAAACAAAAATAGTGATTCAGTTTCACGAGTGTGGAAGAATATATGGTTCAACTATTAGAGTGTATCTTCTTGAAATATCTCAAGTTTACAAAGTCTTAAAACCTAAATGACATTATAACTGTTTCTTCCTACTATGTACAACATATACAAGAGGTAATTTGCATCAGTTCTATTACTTCTTTTATCTTTCATGAGCACGAGTAAGTTTCATCGTGAAAATATGATCGATTCTTTAGGCACACACTATAAACTATGATATAAGAAGAAAACAATCAACAAATTAAATTTAAAGAAGAAAAAAATAACTCGTGAAAGAGGAGGAATAACATAGATACCAGTAGATGAAATCAGAGAACTAGTTAGAAAAAAACAGATGAATGTTTAAGCATCTATTAGAATGTATCTTCTTGAAAGATATCAAAACTATCACTTTTTGAACCTTCAATATGCAGCACCACATGAGGTCATTTACATCAGTTCTATTTCGTTTGACATATTTTATCAGTTTCAAAAACAAACGAATATATAACTTTTTCACTTTTGAAGCTGTAACATACGGCATTCACTTTTCTCTTATGCTCTTTTAGTCTTGAAAGTTGTACAATACTTCACTTATAATTCATAATGGATTTCTCAAATTGAACGTAACTCTCTTTATATTATCTCTGAATATTATTTTACCTAATTGAGTTATTAGTGCCTCTTTCCAAGTGAAAGAACTGATGCAAATGACCAGCAGCTATTACAAAAAAGAGCTGATGCAAATGACCACCAACTATAAAATTGAATTTTTCTAATAAACAATCAGCAGTTATAACTCAAGAAGCTATACAAAAAAAAAGAATTGATTTAAATGACCAGCAACTATAAAATTGAATCTTTCTAAAAAATTGATCAACAGCTATAACTCAAGCAGCTATTACAGAAAAGAACTGATGGAAATTACCAGCACCTATAAAACTGAATGTTTCTAAAAAAATGTCAGCAACTATAACTCAAACAAGAAGATCTATAACTCGAACAACATAAACAACAAATCGACTTTATAGAAAGAAACAAAAAAACTCTCAGAAGTGGATGCATACCTGAGACTAGATTGAATAGAAGATATAAATTGAGTTGAGATCGCTGCTAGTCCTCTGCTCTCTATGTTCTGAGCAAACACAGCTGAAACACTAAGACCTGGGCTTTCGTTTGCTGCTATAGACAGACCTGTTATTTCTGTGTTTTGAAAAAAAATAGATTTTCAGTTGAGAGTATACACTGAGATGTGTAAGTGAAGATCGCTTTTAGGAAAAATCTTGCTAGAGTTGTCTGATTCTCAAGATGAGTTTTGAGAAATAAAGTGTCTTCTATTTTTTGTTTTCCTTTTAGAATTTTTAACAAAGAAGAAGAGACAAATGCTAATGAATACATAGTACTTAAGAATTCACAAGGAAACAGTTCTCAGACTTTGGTGGATTATAAGGATTCAGCTTATAAGCCATTCAAGCGTAGGAAGCTTTTGCATCCAACATTTGATGAGAACAACTGTAGAAGTGATTTAAATCACCAACTTCCTTGTCAGACACTTGACACGGGGAATGATAAATCTTGAGAAAAACTATATATGCTCAGTAACTATACTATGAATAAATTCTAAGTCCTCAACTATATTCGCTATACTAAGAAAACACATCTTGAGGCTGGTTGCCGAGACTATGTATGATTCAACAGATAATACCAATAGATCCAAGAATACGCTCAAGTTCAAAATTTGAAGGCGTTGATAAACTATTTACATTGGCAATCGGATGTGTTAATGAACCCAGGGCCGAGAGGCCTTCCATGGGTGAGGCTGTGAAAGAAATTGGGAGTATCCTTGAACTAGTTAGCATGAGCAAGTATACTAAAGAAAAGACTTCAACTAGGTATGAAGACAACTCAAGTCAGTCTTGACGATTTCTATGATGACAAAGCTTTTGATTATAGTTGTAAATTTCCTTCTTGTGGCATGAACACTACTTACTGAAGTAACTAAGGAGTATATATGTGATTAACATTTGTTTGTTATATTGAATATAAGTGATCTTTGATACTTATGACTTTTCTATTCTATTACTAGCTATATATAAAGTCAGAATTACATATGACTTTTTAAGATTAAGTGATCTTTGTATCGATATTTGATGGAAACAAAGTTAGATCATATTGTACAGGACCACAGATGAATTCTATACCTTAAAACCTGGAACTGTAAAACAACTCCAGATTTCACTTGTTACACTTACCTTGTCAGCTGTCTACAATTGCAAACCTTTAAGAGCTTTTGGTCTTGGACTGTGGAGATTGTTTTCAATCATTGCATAATTAGTTTTGATATTAGGCAAACATCCTTTGTTTGAAATTATGTTCCTTGTGTTGTCCTATATAGAAAATAATCACTTTTGTTACTACAAGTTGATAAAGACTTCAATATAAAAATCTTTGTGTTTTACAATCATCAACTAATCATACGACAATCAAATATCCATTCATACAAGGAACTTTGGTGTCCATTGAAGAAGGGAAATCAGGAAGCAGAGAATAACATGACCAGGGTGTCCTCTTAGTTATTTTTCAAAAAAAAAAGCTTTACTTAATGGGTTATGTGATTTTTCGAACACACAATATGATACAAACTTGAATACACTTCAACAAATCAAACCATCAATTAGAATTTGAACTCAATAAAACAAGAAAATTAGGCAAAGTTGAACTACATAACAGAGAACACGAAACAAAGAAAAGAAAACTTACCAGAATTTCATAGTAGAGAGAAGCAAATAGAGACGTTAATGATCAATAGAGAGGCTTTGTGGAAGAGTGGGATAACCCTAGGCAGAACCTACACTTGATCGAGATGAAAAAGAGATAGTGTGTGTTCTTGAGAATACGTAAAGGCAAAGTTAAAACCATTGGGTATTGAGAGAAAACGTAGCATTTTTTTTAGATATTTAGGACATAAGGTTATTTATTTCGGAGCCTACTTTTTCAGGAAAAAAAGTGTATTTTAGTAAAAAATTTAGGGTTGTTTTGGCGGTGTGCTCTCCCGTTAATGCTCTCAATTATACAATTGGGACTAGTTACTAATATTTTTAGGGACAAGCTTTCGCACCTTCTCAAAAAGATATTGCTTTTAGGACCAAAATATAATCTCTTCCCAATATGTATACTAGTAATGGGATTATTAACTCGTCCCTAAATGTTGGTCAAAAATAAGCCTTTTTCTTATAGTGGGAAGTGAGTTAGAAATTCATGTGATTGCTTGAATTTTGATGTCTGCTTTTACATAAGTGTCGTTTAGAGTTTTAGTGTGTCGCGTGAGGACAAACGACAAGTTTAAGTTAAGGGTGTTGATATACTGTGAGTTTACTGTATTTTTGATTCATTTCACTTATAAGTTTTGTGTGTCTAGGGCTATATTTTATTAGAAACAAATGTTTTATGTATTATGTTTGCAGGAAATAGGCTTGGATGCGGTTGATGAAGATTTGGAACTGAAAAGTGTAGAAGTACCCACCAACGGAGCCACCCACGGACCGTAGGTCCATCAACGGGCCGTGGATGGTCAGTCATAAGTCCTGGTATGGGCAGTTGATTTCCAGTACTCAATCCACAGAGTGCCTGGATGGACTGTAGATCAGTCCATAGAATGTGGGTGAGGCATCGTAGGTGGAACATCAGGGAAGTCTGAAAAGTGTGGAACCACGGAGCAAGGCGACGGATCGTACGTCGACCCACGGTCTGTCCTGCATGTCTGTCATTGATGATCTGGGAGTGAAGGTTCCAGTACCTGGTGAAAAGTTTTTAAGTGTTGAAACATGGAGGGTGACCTACGGACCATAGGTCGACCCACGGTCCATAGGTTGTGTCGTCGACAAAAGCTGCATCTAGACAACTTATTTTCCTATTTTGTTTCCTTTTTATTTTGGACTTGTTTTCTATAAATATAACTTATAAACTTCATTTTTGGATGTTAGACATTATTGTAAACTCTTAGTTTTGGTGTTTTTGGGAATTAACTTGCAAACATTAGCAATTTGATTTCCGGATTTCCTTATATAAGATTTTCACTTGGCAATTCAATTTGAAGATTTCGGGTTTCATCTATTCTAATTGTAAGTTCATGAATTCTTTTTTATTATTATAAAATGTGAACTTTCAAGCATGAGTAGCTAAATCCACAACTAGAGTTGTGGGAATCATGAGAAATTAATAAAGTATGAATAATAATTAAGTAATTCTTGAATAGTGTTTATGCCAGTATTGTTAATTCTTTTGCTTTGAAGTCTTTTTAACGACGGCCAACATTAGAACTCGCCTCATTTCTACTTGCCGGACCAAGGAGGTAGTTAATGAGAAAAGAATTAACAACAGAGATTAAGTGGATGTTATCTAATAGTCTAATGTCAATTTGTTCACGGGTGAAAACTAAGGCATACATTGATGTGATGTCTAATCTAAGGGAAATGTAAGGGTTAGTAGAGCATTAACCCGTAGCCGGACCAAGGTGCGCGGTGAAATTCCATAGTTGGAGGACCAATCACTTAGGGATACCTAACGTACCAACTTCACATATAGCCTAGTTTCTCTCTCATATTAATAACTCAAAGTTTGAATCATGCTTACTTTTTACTTAATCAACAATTTGTTACTTTCTTACAAACCCCCCTTTATTTACTTGTCTCGGGAATCGTTTGACTAAACGGATATAATAGTGAGTTAAGTTTAAGTTTGAACCATATTCCTCGTGGGATTGACCCCAACCTACAAGTTGAGTTATTTATTTGACAATGACCTCTTATACTTCTTTAAAGAGGTG